ATATCATTCGCGCACGTAGCCTAAACTGACCCAATCGACTGTTGACCCATCAACAGAAACAAAGGAGACCCGGCACTTTCCATAGAAAAAATGCTAAACTTGTATACAGTTGAATTTGGTCTCAAAATAAAGCCAAAATTATTTGCTACATAAAACTACTTTTGCCTTATTTATAGTGAATCGTGGAAAGAAGTTATATAATGATTAATATTTTTTGATATAGAAACCCTTTTGATGACAAACCTACGTATTTGACATTGACAGCTAGCTGCTGATGACAAATATTGCCAGACTACGTTACCCAATTATGAAACACAGATAAAAAAATTAAAAAAGTATACTACTTTGGCACAAAATGCCGGGTGTCCTTTGACGTTTTCCAATTAAATACGTGATTTTAGCACCGCGAGAGACGCACCCGTATAGCGTGTTGTTACACAAAATGTTGGCAGTGATTATTATACATTCATATCCGGTACTAATACATTATATTATACTACGGCTAAGCCTTAAAGGGTGTAAATCATATTGAAGACCGCGCAGTCCAAATAGAGGACATGTATTTTTGTATGATGAATCATAAAAAAATTAAAAAAAAATTATCTAAAATTGAAAAACAAAAAATATTAGGGGTGGATCACCCTTAACATTTAGGGGGATGAAAAATAGATGTTGTCCGATTCTCAGACCTACCCAATATGCACACAAAATTTTATGAGAATCGGGAAAGCCGTTTCGGAGGATTTTAACTACAAACACTGCGACACGAGAATTTTATATATTAGATATTTGTTTCATAGGTTTTCAAGCACTTTACACATTAACGGGTAAGTTTCAACGGGTTAGATACACTGATCTAACATCACCATGTCTTACTACGTTATTTTCGATTCCTATCTCTAATGACAAGAGTTGGAATACTTTCAATTTACAATTATGCGTTTTGGAGCGCAAAAGAGTTGAATCTCTTATCTATTAGACAAGTCCGTCCGTCCGTCTGTCTGTGGTGCTGTTTCAGCGGCCAAACCGTAAGAGATAGATAAAGAGAATATATAAGTTATAAGTTAAGAATAGTCTGATAAGACTACAAACCGGATTTGAGTAACGTAGCACTTCCGGTTTTCGAGAAATCACGAATTTCAAACGAAACCACACAAAATCTCCGAAGTTCTCAATTAATTAAATACATTTTTTTTTAATTGGTGAACATTTGGTTCACTGGTTTGCTAGTTTCGTCTAATCCTGGTGAAATCATGTTTTGATGAATGTATTCATATTTTGTGTTCACCCCGAGCAAACTCCTTGAGCAATGACCACAGACAAGGAATCATGCGCAGTAGCAACTTCACATACAAAAACGACGAACTGCGCATGTTTATTTGTGTGCGGTTTCGTTCAAGCAGTTTGCTGCAAACTATATCATTTAAAATGTCCGCGTATTTATAAATCCTCGCCCCGGACACATCACAGTCTTCAATAAACAATTTATCCCTTACTATTATTATAATTTATAATAAGATTCCGAATAAATTTCACTTAGAAAAACCAGCGTATATGCATCAAGTCAATTTACAATGTGCAAAAAGATTTGTTTCTAATCTAAATATTAAATATCATATTTTAAACTGTACATTTTTCCCGGCGGGATGATAATTCCAATTTATTGAGAGAAACTAAAGGGTGTAGTCCAGTGGCGTAGCATGGGGGGGGGGGGGGGGGGGGTCCGCACCGGGCGGCACTTTGCCGGGGGCGGCGCTGCGGAGGTGGCAGATAGAGAAAAAAAATTAAAATATAAAAAAAAGTTAATTTCTTTCAGTTTTTTTCGTCATTTTTTTGTTGTTGTTACCAAATACCCAGGTACCTATGCAGGTTCTATGCATGGGTGATGCAAGCGCAAGGTTGCCATGCCTCATTTTTTTATAATGGATTGCAAAAATAAGAGGGCGGCAAATTTGGAATCCGCACCGGGTGCTAGTGACCTATGCTACGCCACTGGTGTAGTCAGAGGCAATTCAACAATTAACCCGGAGAAATAAAAAAAAAAACAAAAAATTGTGTTATCGAAAAAAGATCATACAGAATTTTTTTGTATTAAGAAATCATTTTGACAATTTCTTGATGACACAAATTAGATAGGTATTTTTCGTAGTTAACATAAAAAAAAGACATCCGTCTTTCATCAATGCAAATTAAATATTCACCCTTTTGTTTTCATTACGTCTATAATAAAATATGACCTAGTGATGACATAGAGGTATAAGAATAGAGTAGGGGAGATATAGACTCTACTACAAGTGGAAGTGTCCCTCTAATAGAAAGAGAAAGAAGATGAGAGACCGCTAGCTTTCTCTCTCTAATCGCGCATGCGCATTGGCAACCGTAAGCATCGTACTATTTCGATGTGACAAGACATGACAAGAGATACAGATAGCTAGCTGTCTCTTTCTACTAGGCGGACACTTTTAGAGCCGCCTTCCCCACTCTATTCCTATACCTCTAGATGATGTTGTTATTTCTTCTATTATTCCCCTCTCCCTCCCACCCTTGGTAGCGGCCCTTAAATCGATGGACAATTATCTGTTTTTTTTATTACAAAATCATGAGCTGTACCACCATTGGATGGTGTAGGTTTTAGGCTAGCAAAAGATAAAACTTTCACATTATTTATTGTACCTAACCTAGTGGAGTTGTGAAACTATTTCTAAATAAAACGTATTGATAATTTCAAATTGACTTATTGAAAGTTTTAATTTTTGAATCGTCCAATATTTTCCTTAATATATTTTCCTCCATTATCAAAAACTCTCCTGGTTTTGTATGCATACTTTTTCACTGTTGTACTACGCACAAAAAATTAACCGGTTTAACTTGAATATGTGTAATGCGTTAAGTATACTTCAAATAACATTCGATAACCAACTGCCAACATGATAGAAATTCACATTTAGATATATATATATGTACACTGAAGAAGCAGCTAAGAATATCATAAGTGTTGTGTCACTGTTTAAACCGGCATTGTCTCACATTTGCATGCGTTAAGATATAATTATATTATATTCAATGTCAAAAAAACTGGGATACCCTTTTGTACTAAAAAAAACTTATAATTTTCTTTGTTTAAAAAATATTAAAACATAACACAAGAACAGTAGATATCATCCATTCGTAAAATTAAATGTATTAGCGATAAGTGAATAGTTTTTTTTTAAGATAACAAAGTAATTAACATCGAGGCTTTACTCTATAATAACTAAAAGTAAGCAACTGCTGGAAATGTTGCCACCTACAAAAAAAATGTAACAGTAGTCGTTTTCAATGACAAGTGTAGCAACACTGGCTTAAACTGATATTTCATTATTTTACATTGCGAAGTTTTACTTCCATATAGTTAAAAATTAGATATTAAGGTGGTTATTTTGGGTATTTGTTTTATTTTATATTTATAATAATATAATAGTGTTGTGACTAACAATTACCTGTAATATACTTTAAAAATAAAATAATTAGAATGAGCTTTTTTTTTGAATTTTTATCGCAACATATAATTTTTTCTTATCAACAACTTTATGAAATCTGATGTTTTTTAATTTGAAGATATTATTTATTATTTTATTAACCCCTCATCTGGCAAACATGACCATAAATCCATGTACATACATATATAAATATAAGGTATGGACACTACAAATCTATAAATTTAATTAATTTATTGATTTTTAATTCCCGAGGGATTCAATTGTAATCGTATTTAACAGATAAAAGAGTTAACACACATTTTATATTGACGAGAAAAAACTATATGTAGTGATAATTTATTAGAATTTTAAATTTAAAACTAATTATAATAATAAAGTTAAAATATTCATTACAATCATAAGTTTAAGAGTTCTTTTTGCTATGTCTTATTAAATAAAGTACTTGTAACTAAATAAAGGAAAAACAGATTAATAATCGTAATAACTAGGGACTAACAGTAATTTTATCCGAAAAACAAAGAATTTCTCTACCAAAAGGTATTTTTTATACCACTCTGGAAACCCTGAATGTCTGACATAAAACAACACACAACTACTCTAAAATAATGCTTGCACTACAATCGATTTACCCATTAAAAGACAAGTGCAACCATTTTTCATTGTACATTATAATCTAAAAGTTGCGTAGGTATAATAAATCTCCCTTTTTTGGGGTAGGCCTGATGCTTACAATTAAACCGCCCTCCCCCCCTGTAACAGGGTAATTTTTCCCCATTTGATGAATAATCACTATAGTATTTTTGCGAAACACAACTTCCCAAGGTAACACTTAAAAGAATTTCAGAAAATCTTTAAATCAATGCCTAACTTAAATATTTTGATGTATCAATACTGGTAATATTTCCATGTCTCAATGTTGCCATCACAAAACCTTTTTTTTGTCTGGAGTTACCATAAAGCAACAGCGGATAGCTCCCACCATTTGATTTTTACACTAATAATTAATCATTAATAATTGTAGGCGTTTACACACTTCAAATGAAAAAAAAAATCTTTAAAACTATTTATAATACACTTTTTTTTTAATTTGCTTTCCTTCGCTCGGGCAATTCAATTACTAATATTATGTATATTTTTTTTTATCAATTTTTCTCATAAAAATGCAATGGTGAAATATATTCACAAACTAATTACTAAAACCTATACATTTAAATGGATGAGGAATTAAAGAAAAGCATCCTATACACAAAAAAAACTGCTCTTCAATTATTTTTTCATTTAACACATTTAGTATTACATCTGTGTCATAGAAATTCTATTTGCTGCAGCAATAAGTGTGACATCTGTATCATAGAAATTCTATTTGCTGCAGCAATAAGTGTGACATCTGTATCATAGAAATTCTATTTGCTGCAGCAATAAGTGTGACATCTGTATCATAGAAATTCTATTTGCTGCAGCAATAAGTGTGACTTCTGTGTCATAGAAATTCTATCGGCTGCAGCAATAAACGGGTATTTTTTATATAACTTCCTTATTTATATAAAAAATACCCGTTTATTATCTCAGATACTATTTTTTATATAACTTCCTTTAAAAATGACGTCTAATTTTCTATTAAAGCACAAAATATAACACTGAAAATGTTAAATGAAAAACACGATTAGCAAACAAGATGGTTGTTTTTACTTAAATTTGTACATTAGACATTTACGTGTATGAACCAATGAATCTTAAATTCACTCACTTTGCAGAGTTCTTCCTTTGGGTGACTTTTTCCGGTTTCGGGGCTGTTTTTTCCGTCTTTTTCTCGGGCTTTCTTTCCTTTTCCGGCTTGATGGTGGTGAGGGGAACTTCTACGGGTGGTGACGATGGTTTTTTGGGTTTAGTGGCTCGGGCTGCTGCAGCGTAGTTGATAGGTTTGAATCCAGGCGTTGCAACTTCTTCAGTGGGCGTCTGTTGAGGCTGTTTGACAATTTTAATGATAAATATAAGGAATTTGACAAGGAACAAAACGAAAGAATGAGCGGAGCTCGTAGGCGCAAGTGATTAGCGCTTTCAGGTGCGATCATTGAAGTTAAGCAACTTTCGCAGTGGTCGGTCATTGGATGGGTGAGCAAAAACTTTTTTTATCTCTCACTCCTCCGTGCTTCGAAAGGCACGTTAAGCTACCAATCAGCACTGGGCCCGCGTGGTGAGTCACGGAACAATCTCCCTATTCCATCCATAGGGAAGGCCTGTACCCCGGCAGTGGGGACATTAATAGGCTGATGATGATGATTTGTTTGCATCTACAATGTTTTTGCTCTTCGAGTCCAATGGAAAAGCATAGAGGTATAAGAATAGCTAGCGAAGGCGGCTCTTAAAGTGTCCGTCTAGTAGAAAGAGAAAGAAGATAACAGACCGCTAGCTTTCTCTCTCTCTCTCTCTTGTGACGCATGACATCCAATGGCATCATATCGAAATAATAAGATGCTTACGGTTGCCAATGCGCATGTGCGAATAGAGAGAGAAAGCTAGCGGTGTCTCATCTCCTTTCTCTGTCTATTAGAGGGACATTTCCACTTGTAGTAGTCTATTTCACCTACTCTATTCTTATACCTCTATGTGGAAAACACAGTATGTAGTGTGTACGTGTTCGTATCGAGGGGCCATTTTTTTTGAGAACTCGCTACCGGGGGATCCGTTACAAACCTACGCTTTGAGTACAACTTTTCACTGTTGACGTTTAAATTTTGACATAAAACGTACGAAACTTGTGTTAAATTAGACGGACGGCGTGTGTAGAGAATCGTTTTTCAGAAACAAAATTTTGTGTAGCCTGTGCGGAAAGAGAATGGAATTTAGATTGGAGGGCGCTGTAGTGCATTTCTACCGTATTTGTAGGGTTTACCACTTTTAGACATGATTAAATACAAAAAACCGCAAGAAATCACAACAACAAACAAATCCGTATCAATACAACACTCTGACGTTTTACAGATTGCTGAGTTTGATTGCCAAATAAAAATCTTAATGTTAGTTCCGTTTTTCGCCACGCCAATTCTCTTTCCGCACAGACTCTATCTGTTTTTGGTGAATATTTTCAAAAAACTCTTACTGGAGACCTGGCTTTTGAGGGAAAAGAGATACTATAATTTCCAAATTTCATGGTAATATTGCTAATGTGGACCTCCTGAATGTTTAATGACTTTTACAAAGCCTTTGATTTAGTAAGATAAAAAGATTTTGACACAAATTTGGATATTTCTTAATTGACTTTGGCAGTGTCTTATGATCGTATTTAGTTGATATATCGCAACAAGTTATTATTATCAAAACTGAGTTTGCCTGAGCGCCTATAAATATAGGAGTGCCACATGGACGTGTATTGGGTCCAGTATTGTAGTAAACAAGCATAAAAGTATATTTGCATATCAGTTATTTTATTATATATCCCTGCAAACTTCTTCAGCAACGACCATAGTAGCAATTTCACATAAAAAAAACCGGCCTATTGAAGTTGAATCGGACTCACCCACGCAGGGTTCCGTACCATTATCTATACAACATTAGACACTATATTATAATATCGAGCAAAAAACGGAACAAAGAACGTCTGTTGTATGAAAGCCCCCATTAAAAATTTACATTATTTTCTTTTCTTATAGGTTTTCCTGTAATCTATATTCCATATATTTTTTAAATTTAAGACGTTAAAATAAAGCTCGCATGTAAAGTCAGATTATTATAAAAGCACTCACTTTTGGCGCTTCTGTGGGCGCAACCTCTTCTTTCTCCTCCACTTTCACTTCACTCTTAACAATTTTCGCGGGCTCCTTCTTCTTCTGCGTCACTCTAGGCTCGGATTTCACACTTTGCGGTTTAGTCACTTTCGTTTTGCCGTCTTGCTGTTTGACTGCTGCTTTTTTCACGTCAACTTTGGGTTTCGTATCCTTCTTTGCGTCCTTTTCTTTCGGCCTTTTGTCCTTTTCTATATGAACATTGGCGCTAACTTCCGGGGTCTCTTGTGTCGATGGTTCTGTGAAGGAATTAAGTAGTATGCAATTAATGATACGACTCTGCCTTTGCCGGTCCCAAGCCTGGATGAGGAATAAAATTGTGTGCACAGAGCACACATGTGAAGTGAAATTTCTTTTATTAAATAACCTTAGATTGGGCGGTGCATAAGATAAAAAGATTTTGACAGGAATTTGGATATTTCTTAATTGAATTTGGCAGTGTCTTATAATCATATTTACTCAATACATGGCAACAAGTTATTATTAACGAAACTCGGTTTGCCTAAGCGCCTATAAATATAGGAGTGCCACAAGGACGTATATTGGGTCCACTATTGTAGTAAACAAGCATATAAATATATTTGCATATCCGTTATTTTATTATACATCCCTGCAAAGTTCTTCAGCAACGACCAAAGCCTGCGCAGTAGCAATTTTACGTACAAAACCGGCCAAGTGCGGCCGGTTTAAGTTGACTTAATATTTTTTTGTCACATCGTTTTCATGGAAGCAAATGGTATATTACCTATAACTTCAGCTTTGTCTTCGGGTGCGTCTACATTATCTTTGCTCTCTGCACTGGCTTGTGTCTGTGGTTCGTCCGGACTCTTCGTGGGCTCCACGAGTGGAGGGTCTGTTGTCTCTGTCCTTTCTTGTACTGTGCGATAGAGATAGACTAATAATAACAATATTTCCAACACTCACTTAAATTAGCCTAGCCACAAAGTAAGCACTGTAGGCTTGTGTTATATGATACTAGGGTAACGGATAGAATTTATATACAGATACATAAGTATATTTATAAAAAAAAAATATTAATCATCTATGACTGAAGTGCAAATGCTCGTATTCATCACCCCTGCCCCCACCGGGATTCAAACCCTCTCGAGTAGACGACACCATGAAACCTGGCGTACATACCAATCGGCCTCGGAGGTCGACAATATAGTTAATGAATATGGATTTTGTTTTAGATAACCGTTGGTGTCGATTATGACATGACTCTCTAAACCTAAAATTAAATTTGACAACATTGTATCGCTCACGTGATGTTAAATTGGTAATTGGCATGACTTTCTTAATAACCTAAAATTAAATTTGATAAAAGTGAATTTTTCTCATGACATTTAATTAAGTTTTAAGTTTAGATAAGCATGCCAGAATCGGTCTCATAATAGTATAAATTCAATAAATTTATCAGAATAAATTTATGAACGGGTCATTAAAATATCATGATAGCACTTCACATGGTTATTCGCATTTGCTTTTTGTCACTTTGACAGCGGGTTCTCGTTATCATACTCTATAGGGAACGAAAAGGAGAGACAGTTGGCAAGTATACAAATAGCATATAGCTACATATAGCTATGTGAAGTGTTATCATAAAATTAATAGTAGTGTAAATATTATGAAAAATGACATTCTCAATTAAACATTACAGTAATTCTTAGAATTAATTAGAAATCTCCAAAAAACACTCAAAACTCGGTCACAATCTCTATGCTTACCAACCATCTCTAAACACTTAATACTCCAACCACCACTAAACTCTCCTGTAAATATCTCTAAACACTCTAAACTCATAAATCTTTAGACACTTTATACTCCAACTACCCTTAAACTCTCCTCCAACCATCCCTAAATACTCTTAAACTCATAAATCGCTAAACACTTTATACTCCAACCACCCCCAAATTCTCCTCCAACCATCTCTAATTACTCTAAAACTCATAAATCGCTAAACACTTTATACTCCAACCACCCCTAGACTCTCCTCCAACCATCTCTAAAAACTCTTAAACTCATAAATCTTTGAACACTTCCACCAGCCCTAAACTCCACAACCATCTCTAAATTCTCATCCAACCATCTCTAAACACTATAAACTCACCAGGTGGCGGTTGTAAACGCGCGGTGGGAACGAATTCTGCAGCCAACGGGTTTAATGTTGAACGTGACACGGTTTCTTCTAGGGACAATCCTGTGCCATTACTCGTTCTGAAAGAGAAAAAAGTCATTTCAGTCAGGCTGCATGTTTTTTTTTTGTAAAGTTCAACATCTAGCAGTTAAAATATAAGATCTTTAAACTATTCTGAACGGCACAATACTAATATATCGTGCACAGCTTAAAATAAATACATGATGAACTTATGATTTTATTTATTTTTTAAGCATTTAACTGCTAGATGTTTAAATCTAAAGAAAAGTTTACTAGAAAAAAAATCCACGCGGACCAGGCAGCGGACGGGACTCGAACCCGCATCCTTCGCTATCCGGGCGAATGCACTGACCATATAATGAACTTTTTTGTAATGATTTTGTTGTTTTCTTTCACGATATTTAAACTACATGTTTTTTGTACGTCTCTAGTCAAGAGTGGGTGTTTATGTTAAGACTCACGTGGGGTACTGCGGATGCCCATTTGCGTTGGGTCTGTTTCTCTCCCTCTGTTCGTCTTCCAACATGGCTTCTATACATTGCTCCATTAAAGCTTCTTCTTCTAGCTGTTGCATCACCTGTAACAAACGTGTTTAATTACTAACTGATTCGACAGACATCCTGGGTGCCGTACCTGTTAAACTAGATTGCAGATACAGATAGTTTATTTCTAACGTTCAAGTTACATGTCAAATGAGTATCTAGTATTAGACCAGAGTAGTATCTATTATTTAAATTAAATTAATATCTGTAGGATGGCCAAACAGGAAGATCTTCCTCCGAGCTGGCTGATGTTAGCTCGGGGGCAGCGGCCCGACTGTTGTTTTTTTGAGTGTGTATGCTATTGGTCGCAGATGACTTTTACAGCGTCACCGGTTTTGGCTTGGTTTGGGAGAATTAGCGAGTACCTCTATAGGTATTCCAGGCGGATGGCATCTCCCCACGGGGGGAGTCTCCTCTCCGTTTGGAGCCTCTATACCACGAGCACCTGAGGGGGTCGGCTCAATTAGAGGGCTTCTCTGAGACTCGGACCACGGCTCTAGTTAGCCGTTGTTGTGGGAGGCGATCTTAATATCGTTGTGTATTAGTCTTCGAAGTCGTATATTGTCGAATACTAAGTGGTCCGAATGATGTGTCCGGAAGTATATGTATATATAGTATTGTAGTTATGCTCTCATAATAGTATCTTCGGCGGTGTCGTGTGAGGCGGGTCGTTACGTTCCCTAAAATATGGTTGAGCGAAGCGATGGCTGGTTCATGCGTCATGCTCGTGAACGGGTGCTGCCAGCGGAGATGAGTCTGCCCTACCTTCCTTAATATTGAAGTTACTGTTTAGTCACACTTAATATAAATAACACTATTTGTATTTATACTGTATGACACAGCAATCAAAATGCAGGTAAACAATTAATGTATATTTAATAATTATGTAATGAAAAGTGACTTCATGAATCACCTCTGAAGTCATTTTTCAAATTGACGACTCTGTAAATAATAAAACAGGGAGAAAAAAACAGCCCTTGCTGAGTTTCTTGCCGGTTCTTTTCAGTACAAGGTCTCCCGCCGTAGATTTACGAACCGATGGCGTAGCTTCTAGACATTCATGAGTGCTTGTAACAGTCTAAACTGAATAAATGATTATGATTATATATTATTGTTATTGTGTGGTCTACAGTACCTGTTTATCGAATTCCTCCTCGTTCTCCATCCACATGTAGTCCTCGAAGTCGTCCTGGGGAGGCGCCGGCACCGGATAGGCCCCCGCTGGTGGGTAGAAAGCACCCGCCATTACGTAGCCGGCTATGGGGAATGAAGTACATTTTTAGGATATTTATATTAAAAAATAAATATTTCCAACTGTCACACCAATTAGCCTAGCCCCAAATTAAGCACTGTAAGGCTTGTGTTATGGTATACTAGGGTAACGGATAGAATACATATACAGTACATTATATAGAAATACATATTAAACATCCGTGACTGGAGTACAAATGCTCGTATTCATCACACAAACATCTGCCCCCACCGGGATTGGAACTCGGGACATCTCGTGTCGGCGACACCATGAAACCCGGCGTACAAACCACTCAGCCACGGCGGTCGTCATATTGAATTGAAATTGATTAAAGCTCAGGATTGAATCACCCATCATTTGGTGTCGACACCAAGACCATTACCGTTTGGCTTTCTGTCCCTTGCAGAGAATTACCAGATTACGGATACTTTGTGTCAAATACTGTAAAATTTTCGTTTCATCAAGTTTCACATCACAATAGTGCTAAAACAGTTTTCACTTCAAAAATATAACTAGAGGGCGTATTCCAACTGACTAAATTCAGACGTTTTAAATCATTCAGTAACTAATTCAGTCAAGTGAAATAGCATTTAGGAAGTTAGGATCCTAATTAGCAACCTAAATCGGAAGAAGTGTGGCTTCTGACTGACTAAATAATTTAATATCCTATTTAGAAAGCGATTTAGGAACGTGTGATGGGGTTTAGATGCTTCAGTCGCACCGCAGGCGTCACTGCGTGAGGACGTTTTGTGTCTACGATTACGAATTACGCGAGTGTGCGGTAAAAGAAGTTATTGAGTAACATAATCGAATTGTATAAAGGTATGCTGTCTTTTTTTTTTGTAAATTAATTTAATGTTAATTTATTGTTTGCATTTGTATCATTGATATGGGCTGCTGTTGTCCGAAATAAATAATTTTTATTTTATTTTTTATTATATTTTTGGAACAAAAACGATAAAAATTACATTGTATATTCTACAAATATTCTTTGACTTCTTTTTATTTAGACCAACGGCCAGGCCTAGTTTAGTTTTTCAGGGCGGTTTCCGCACTTAGTCCTAATCATTGGACCATTGTGCGTGTCTTGAAACATTCCCGTTTACTCCAGCTAGCCTAGGTTAGTCCAGAAGGAAAGCAGTCTTGGCAGACTGCTGCAAGCTTCCGGAAGCGATGCGGGTGACTGGAGAAGTCGTGCCCGTTGGTCGGCCACACTCCTGCATTCCATAATGACATGCTGTGGCGTTTTCTCTGCCTCCATACAACGGCCAGGCCTAAGAGAAGATCACTTCTTTGTTGCTTTGACAGGACTGGAGCCATTACGAAAAAGTTCTGACTGAATTCGCCGCGCGCTTGTAACTGACTGAATCAGTAACTCAATTAGTCAAGTGTAATCAGAAGCTTCTTTTTTGGATTTTAACTAGGACGTCTGAATTTAGTCAGGTGGAATACGTGCTTAGATCAAATATATGTTTCCCTTACCAGGTATATGTCCCCTGGGTATATGTACCGGATAGACGGGCGGCCTGTGAACCCCGGCGTCCCCGCTACCCACCACTCCACCACCCACGCCGCTGTCAATTATAACTCCATTCGGCTACGTACAGAAATCAACTTGTTAAATTAAAAAACACTTTGTTTATCATTCGGTAATAATAATAAAGCTTTATTTCATTATATCACTGTTGTTGCGACACCACTGACAATGGCACCTTAAGCTTAGATTAAAACAAAAAGGGAAGACATGGTACACTCATACTAGCATCAAATAAAATATGCTCCGACTCAACTACATAAGCAACTCTCACACACGCACACTTCTGTAAATAAACATTCAATCGAGCGAGCGAGACACAATTGCATTGCTCTGCAGCCGACTGAGTTTTCTTTTCTCTCTGTAAAGACAGCTGAGTTGTATGTTATGATAATAAAGCTTTATTTGTTAGTAGCGAGTTTCTGAAATTAATTATTAAGTTAGTATTAATAAAGTTCTATATATGATAATGATCTCTTTGAAGGGTAAAAGCCTCCTCCAGCTTTTTCCATTATTTTCTTTTAATATATAAAGGTAGAGTAGATCGATGGCGCAAGTGGTTAGCGCGTTTAGCTGCGATCGTTGATGCTAAGCAACTTTCGCAGTGGTCGGTCATCGGATAGGTGACCAAAAATTTATTTTCATATTCCTCCGTTTTTAGGAAGGCATGTGAAGCCGTTGGCTGCATCTGCGGTCGTTAGCACCCACCAATCTGCACTGGGCGCGCGTAGTGGCTCATGCATGGCCCAGTCTCCTTATTCAATCCATAGGGAAGGCCTTTGCCCCAGCAGTGGGAACATTAATAGGCTGATGATTCAAACAACACTACTGCTTGTCCCCTGGAGCGGAGAAACACAGACATATCAACCAATAGGATTGCACAGAATCTCAGCTCCTTTTCAGTGGACAGAGTTTGTGAATTCCTGGTCAATATTTCTCTGCTCCGCAGCTTTGCTCCACTCCAGTGAACAGGCAGGTTTAGTGTCTCCACTACTGGGGCAAAAGCATTTTCTATGGATGGCAGGGTGAATGGTAAGAACTTACTTCCATGATCGAAGGCCGAAGCGCTCCTTGATATTTACATCAAAGTGATTTCTTACTATAACTAATTTAACTCAGCTAAAATATCCTGTTTTTTTAGGTATTTCTTGGAATTTTTCTCTAATTATTTTTTACTTCATTGTATACCTAATTAGTCTACAACGGGCCAGTGTAGTTTGTGCCTTAAGCCTATTTTCACTATATCATTCTGCCCAAAACCGAGATAATTAGATCACTAGTGGAGAGGACGTACCAGGAGTTTTCTCATTGCATACAGGTAAAAGACTCATCATAATAAAATGAAGAATGAATAGGAATAAGACAGTATGGACAAACATCCTAATGTGGTTTGTGAAGTATACAAAAGAGCTAAAGTTGAAATGATTTCGGTCACTACTCAAATCACTGGTAACAAATGAAATCTCAAATGTTCGAGAATTTAAGGAAAAATTTACTCATGTTTACTGATAACTAAACTAATACTCGCCTGGTGGGTAACAGCCCAATCTCCCTAATCCATCCATAGGGAATTCCTGTGTCCCAGCAATGGGGGCATTAATAGGCTATGATGATGATTACTGATAAGGAGGAGGAGACCATAAGGAATGAATCAAAGAAACAAGAGGTAGCAGAATACTCCTTGTGCATAACCACAGACAAATAAACTTGCCCTGTAGTTTTCGTAGGTAAAATTGCTACTGTACAGGCTTTCGTATCAATGGCCATTGCTCAAGAATATGCCCGGATGCAGAACAATGAAAATATTCTTACCTGCCACTGGCCATTTTCCTCATTGGCATAATAAGCTCCAACATTCGTTGTCTGTGGTATTTTCATCCTTGACGTAAAATTGTGTTAAGACTTCTTCCCATACACTAAGATTTAAGCTTATAGTAAAGTTGCGAACTTGTTTAATTGTTAGATGTGATAGTATCAGGCACTTTCTTCATAAGTATATCGATGTGTGTGCTTAATGTGGTGTCTATCTTCATTTCTGGAGTTCTGAGCTGTAACAATGAATAGATAAATTTAATACAACTTGTAAATATTATTTAGGAGAGTGGGTACTACGAAATATATTTATCTATATATATAAAACTCAAAGGTGACTGACATAGTGATCTATCAATGCACAGCCCAAAACCACTTGATGGATCGGGCTGAAATTTGGCATGCAGGTAGATGTTATGACATAGGCATCCACTTAGAAAGGATTTTAATGAATTCTACCCCCAAGGGTCTCATTAATAATATTTATAAGTTCGATAAAGATTTGTACATATAATTTTAAAGTCTTCTTGCCACAATAATACCTTAGTTTTATACTAAAAGAATGTTGTGTATTGTCCTACATTTATTTTTATTTTGTGTTGATATTTTTAAGTACCTGAACACTGGTGTATTAAAAGGGATGAATGCTACAAACAAACATAATCAGAGATAAGAAAAATGAGTATCAATTCTTTAATACAAAAGATAAGTCTTAAGATAAAACAATGTTCATTCATTATTTAAAAGTCTATCATATCTTAATGCCTATATTGGTGTCGATTCTGATATGCTTCTCTGACCTAAAATTATATTTGACAACAGTGTATCCTTGTCTTTCTCTATACAGAATGAAAGGAAAAACTAATGTTGAATTTAGTTTTGTTTAGTGAATGGTGCCAGAATTGACACCATTGTAGATAAGCAATAATGTTTTACAAACATAATAGTTTATTTTGTGTAGATGTACTTTATGCTCAATTTTGCATCAATTAATTTATTTAACCATCATGCTTAATTGACAGTTGAGACTCTGGTCTCCTATATCATCTCAATGCTTACAATAGTAATATACTGTTGTGATATCTTTCATACACTGACACAAGTGTGTGAATGCCATACAGACGTTGATCGGAACATTTATGCTGAAGTTAGACGCAGCGCATAGCTTAAAAATAGGAGACCACAGCCTATGATGTTTAATATATTGATAATATTCTAGCAAGTTATAAATAGTCATGAAGATAAAAGCATTCGCAAAGAAAGGGTCTAAACTCCAGATTTTCATGGAATCTCTCCATTTTTCAGAATATACCTACCAATAATGTGATTTCAATGCAAAATAGACGATTTGCGATTTGATGTGATTACATCAAATTGATATGATTTTTTTACTCAACAACATTAAAATAAAATTTTATTTCTACAAGCAAAACAATTACATTGACACTCATGACCATTTCCTTCAACCTTCTCATTGAATAAATGTCAGATAAAATACCTATCAAGTGACGTGGATACGTGAACAAATGCATAATTATTAATACTTATGATTAGAAACACTTTCGCCGCAGTGTGAACCGAACAAGACTTTGATAAAAATAATGTTATGAAATCAAATGTCAACAACAAAAGTAGCGCGGCCCAGATTTATCTGTAAAATATTCACTTTCTATTTTAACGGAATCACCACGTAGAAGATTTTCTTCACATTATAAATGCGATACTTGTAAACACAAACTTATTTTTGAAATACGAAACAGGAACAAGTGTATAGGCCAAGCGTAAAAATAGATCAACCTAGAATTCAAAATATATGTAGACTTCGTTGAGACCCAATTAACTGATCGCGCAGTAGTGTCCGAGGAAGTTCAAAATGCGTACACTACATAACGTTAACCGAGCAAAAACCACCAACGTAGCAAATAATTACAACAATTTTAGCACGTGTCGCATTCACTTAACAAATGTTGCTATGGATGTGGGAAAACATACTTACTCATAAGACGCACATTCCGTGCTTTTACGACATTGAACAGTTTTTGTTGTGCCCAATGCTTAACTAGGAATTTTCGATGCACTTTTATTCCCCTAAATTAGCACTATAACCTCTAATTTCACAAATCCACACACACGACTATCGCCAGCCTTCGTGGCGCAAATGGCTACCAGTATGAACTTCGTCCGGAAGGAACACCGACGGAGGGAGTTTACAAAACCTGAACAACTTCAGTTTAGATAATACCGATAATTCGTTTGCGTATTTCTTTAATTAATTTAAAGTAAAACAATGAAATAAAAATTAAAAATTACCTTTCTAAGCGACTATCATACTCTTGTAAATTTTGCTGAACCAAAATGATTGTCAATCATAATGACAATTTTGTTTTTTGTTTAAAAAAAACTGGCTGGCTGCTATGCGCAAGCTACACTACAACGTTAGTTATTTAATTTATTAAATAGATAATTATTATTAATATGTTATTGCAAAGTTTAACTCACTTTTTGGTAATAACAGGTACTTAGTTAAATTATGATTATTATCATACGCTAAAAGTATAATCCTAGTTTTACTAAAAGAAATACTTTGATATACAGAAAAGCAGGCTGCATGAGAACATTGAAATCCTTTGTCATTTATTTTGTGGAAAAAGAAGAAAAAAAAATTTTGAACAGTTTTTGTACTTTTCTTCGTCTAAAGTGGCTTCCACACGATACAATTTTACGTCCAATTTGATTAGATTGACAATCGAATTGTGTTGTGTGGACGGAAATCTGAAATTGAAGGTCATTGGATGGTCGGTATCGCCCGATTCGGGATTGCCCAATCAAATTGGGTGGTGTGGACGCTAACTGGCCATTTTTTTAACGTAGTCACTGTGCAAGCGGCGTTCAGAGCGGGTGTGTGCGTTGACTTGTTTTTTGAGAAGAAGATGGAGCAACATGACGACAATATTATGTCTATTCGATCTGAACGGGAAGCATTGAAGAAGATTTTAGATATATATAAAAACTTGCTAAGCCTTTGGGATGTGTCTAACCCATTATATAAAAATAAACAAGCAAGGCATTAGAGATTTTGCGGAATAAGTGGAAAAATATTGATAAAAATATTACTCTTTAAGTATAACATCCGCTACCACTACCACCAGTCGCATCGCAGTTCTCTGTCGTTCGTGTCTTCCAGTCACATACAGCAAATAATATAGAACCAGTTTCTATAGTATTTGCATACAGCGAGTGCTGCACGCGAATTTCGATAGTCTGTAGGTATGAAAATTGTATTATGGTGTAGTATTAACGTGCACTATAGAAATTGCAGCAGCGCAGCGCAGAAGCGCGCAGTGTAAAAATTTAGTCCAATAAACTTGCGGTAGGTAGTTTAGTGAATAACTAAGTTAGCAATTCTTTATGAATATATTTATTAATTTTGCAAACTAATTCACATGTTATTACTCCACTAAAAGCACAGACTTAGAATATTGTAAGTCTGTGACTAAAAGTAATAATGGTGTCAATTCTAGTATGGTTCTCTAAACCTAAACTTAAATTTGACAAAATTGCATCCTTGTCATTCTCTATACTGAATGAAAAGAAGAGACTGATGTAAAATTTAGTTTTAAGTTTAGACAATCATGTCAGAATCGACACCAATATGTGTTGTGAATGTGTCATCACCAATCACTCATCACCTTATTAAAAGTAGTACAACTACACTTTACTCGTAAAAATCACCAATTCACTTGAATGAACATTCGAATAATGAATAAACAACCCACATAACAAACTTCGATACGTACCTCGGCCTCAGATTAGAAAACAAAATCTGTAATCTGAGCTTAGGGCGTCTGCGGATCAGTAAAACGTTACCCGACTGAGAAGAAAGAAAAGAAAAAGAAATGTGTAGATTTCTTTTGGAAACATTAGCCACCTTTAGAAGTTCGCGTAGTATTCACTTACTCACAAAGATATCTTGGGAAATCTTCAATTCCGTTTCCTTAATGTTGTCATGACAAGACATCTAAAATCCAACTAAAGCCTAAACTGTGTGTGACTGTGACTTTTGGCGAAGCTTTTGGCCGTTTACGAAACCGTATTTTCGTAAAGGCAGAAACTATTTGCGTGTATATTTCTGCCTTAACTGATTTCGATGAACGAATACATTATTTGCCTATAAATCGGGTTATGCGATTAATCGTACTGATGTCGACATTCTTAAAGTAGCTAGTCTGTGGGCCAGAGCTACGTTCCAAACCTACGCTCTGAGTGCAGCTTTTTACCCTGGACCTTTTAATTTTCACATTAGACATAAAATGTATGAAACTTAAGTCAAATTTGACATTTGTTGCACCTGGAGTACTGAGCAAGGAGCAAGTCGTAATCTTGAATGGGGCGAACGTTTTGAACGTAGCCCAGTGCTGTCATCGTAATGTTATTTTTACGTATTTTGAATTGTGAATTTTTCAAGATCATCGTTCTTGGTTAGTTGAAAAACATTTCTAATAGTATAGTTATTGCTCACAGCTCGTAAAACTGATTTAATACTTCTGTTAAAAATGGGAGCCCCATTTATGGAATTGGAAAAACCAATTGACGAAGTCTCTTTATTATGCCGTGGATGCCTTGCAGATTCTGGTGAAATGAAGGACATGTTTGAATGGGGGTTGGCAGAGGATTTCTCTAAATATACGGAAGTTCAGGTACGAACTATATTTACACAAATAGTCATGATAACAGTACATTTGTTGTTGGTGTTGTGTTTCTGTCGGTAAATAAGGTTCTAGGGCTCCAAGTTGAGGTGAGGAGGTGAGTGTAGGCGACGGTGCAAGTTATACTGAAGTATCGCAACCGAATATACATGTTAACCATCTGTTAGATCATTTGCTAGTTTGGTATGGCCCTGCTATTTCATTGAGCCTTGGAGGCTGGATGAAATGGCAGGGAGGAGTCCACGGAGCCTGTGCATGCAAGTTTCCCGGTGTGGAACAGTTACAGTCATGTATTTTCCAGACCAAAAAAAGGTCATATACTAGTTTGCCATCCTTTTTAGTTAAAAAGATTTTGTAAGTTCTCGCAGATGAATACACAAGAGGGTGTAGTAAGTATGTATGCAGACCAGTCTTTCCCAGTGGGCACTTTGGGCAAGTGCCCAGGGCCCCGCAATTGATAGGGTGCCCCTCAGATCAAATACAAAGTCCCTAGTTCCTGTTAAATTACCAAATGGAAGTCATAGGGGCCCCATTATCCTAATATGCCCAGGGCCTATAATAGGTCAAAGACAGCACTGTATGTATGTACGTATGAATATGGACATTTTTTATTAGATAATTCTTTTTTAAAAATTCATTGGCCATGGTCTCATAACTTGTTAGTGTATTGATTTTGTCTCATAACCAGCTATGCCCTAAATACTTCATTATACAAGTGACTAAAAACTTTGGATGGCACATAAAGGCATTGATCCTGACCAGAGGCAAATCATCCTTAAGGCAAACTAGGCATCTACCTAGGGGCGCGAGGGTACAAAGGGACGCGCGGGTAATTGTCAAATAAAGAATAAATATAATAAAACATAAAATTAATTGGGCCAGTATTTATGCCACCTACTTACACACTATTATTTTTGCTTACAACCTCAAATTTGCTACAATTTATAACAAAAGATAAATTTAACTAATGGGACTGTCTAATACTTATGCCTTCAAACAACCTTGTCAATGGTACATGATCTCTGATTAAAGTTGAAAAGATACGACTGCAATGTTTGTCGCATCGACCAGATTGGTTTCGTCAAACTATAGTACAAGTTATTCTTAATATAAGGGCGCCGATGAGATGCTTGCCTACGGCGCTTTCAATGTTTAATCCGCCACTGATCTTGACTGCATCTGCAGTATTTACTGTATACCACTAATTATCCACCCGTAGTAATCTTTGGGGCACTCCTTTGTTGCCCCCAAATCTCTAATTCTGGCCCAGCTCTCAAACACCTATAAGTAGCATAAAAAACTGTTCAAAATTAAATTTATAAGCATGTGTAACATGTGGAGGTTTTTAATTTTATATGTAATTAAGAACAGTACCCTTAGCACGAACCAAAATCGAATTTGTAACGTTTGTGAGTCTGAAATGTCATTGTCAAATCTGTACTGATTTTTAGTACTCGTTACGTACTTTGTGCTGCTGCTGTTCAAGTTTTTATACAAAATTTTACATTGACATTTTGGTATGTAAACTATTCGAATTCGATAATGGTTCATGCTAGGGGCACTGTAAACCTTCCTAAATTAAAATAAATAAATTAGGTTTAGATAATCACATTAAATTAACCACATCAAATAAATATTTCCAACACTCACACCAATTAGCCTAGTCCCAAAGTAAGCACTGTAGGTAGGCTTGTGTTATTTGATACTAGAGTAACGGATAGAATATATATACTGATACAAAAATATATGTATTCTATCCGTTAAAATATCTATCTATATTTATTAAGAAATACATATTAAACATCCATCACATTAGTACAAATAAATAAATAAATAATAAATAAATATTTCCAACACACACCAATTAGCCTAGCCCCGAAGTAAGCTCTCTAAGTTATAATTTTTATTATTTTTAAAGCATGTAACTGCTTGATGTTTAAATCTAAAGAAAATATAACTAGAAAAAATTCCACGCGGACCAGGCAGCAGACGGGACTCGAACCCGCACCCTTCGCAATCCGGGCGAATGCACTGACCAATTATGCTACCGCGGCCCTCACGGACCGCGTCGAAATTCTTTCTAGCTATTCTTAAGCTGCAAGGCAGCGCCATCTCTTCGCATTATAGGTAAACCCACAATGTCAAATGAATACTTTTACAAGTATTAAACATTTGAAAGAAGAAATAGCAATTATAGTTATAATTTTTATTATTTTTAAAGCATGTAACTGCTTGATGTTTAAATCTAAAGAAAATATAACTAGAAAAAATTCCACGCGGACCAGGCAGCAGACGGGACTCGAACCCGCACCCTTCGCAATCCGGGCGAATGCACTGACCAATTATGCTACCGCGGCCCTCACGGACCGCGTCGAAATTCTTTCTAGCTATTCTTAAGCTGCAAGGCAGCGCCATCTCTTCGCATTATAGGTAAACCCACAATGTCAAATGAATACTTTTACAAGTATTAAACATTTGAAAGAAGAAATAGCAATTATAGTTATAATTTTTATTATTTTTAAAGCATGTAACTGCTTGATGTTTAAATCTAAAGAAAATATAACTAGAAAAAATTCCACGCGGACCAGGCAGCAGACGGGACTCGAACCCGCACCCTTCGCAATCCGGGCGAATGCACTGACCAATTATGCTACCGCGGCCCTCACGGACCGCGTCGAAATTCTTTCTAGCTATTCTTAAGCTGCAAGGCAGCGCCATCTCTTCGCATTATAGGTAAACCCACAATGTCAAATGAATACTTTTACAAGTATTAAACATTTGAAAGAAGAAATAGCAATTATAGTTATAATTTTTATTATTTTTAAAGCATGTAACTGCTTGATGTTTAAATCTAAAGAAAATATAACTAGAAAAAATTCCACGCGGACCAGGCAGCAGACGGGACTCGAACCCGCACCCTTCGCAATCCGGGCGAATGCACTGACCAATTATGCTACCGCGGCCCTCACGGACCGCGTCGAAATTCTTTCTAGCTATTCTTAAGCTGCAAGGCAGCGCCATCTCTTCGCATTATAGGTAAACCCACAATGTCAAATGAATACTTTTACAAGTATTAAACATTTGAAAGAAGAAATAGCAATTATAGTTATAATTTTTATTATTTTTAAAGCATGTAACTGCTTGATGTTTAAATCTAAAGAAAATATAACTAGAAAAAATTCCACGCGGACCAGGCAGCAGACGGGACTCGAACCCGCACCCTTCGCAATGCCTTGCAGCTTAAGAATAGCTAGAAAGAATTTCGACGCGGTCCGTGAGGGCCGCGGTAGCATAATTGGTCAGTGCATTCGCCCGGATTGCGAAGGGTGCGGGTTCGAGTCCCGTCTGCTGCCTGGTCCGCGTGGAATTTTTTCTAGTTATATTTTCTTTAGATTTAAACATCAAGCAGTTACATGCTTTAAAAATAATAAAAATTATAACTATAATTGCTATTTCTTCTTTCAAATGTTTAATACTTGTAAAAGTATTCATTTGACATTGTGGGTTTACCTATAATGCGAAGAGATGGCGCTGCCTTGCAGCTTAAGAATAGCTAGAAGGAATTTCGACGCGGTCCGTGAGGGCCGCGGTAGCATAATTGGTCAGTGCATTCGCCCGGATTGCGAAGGGTGCGGGTTCGAGTCCCGTCTGCTGCCTGGTCCGCGTGGAATTTTTTCTAGTTATATTTTCTTTAGATTTAAACATCAAGCAGTTACATGCTTTAAAAATAATAAAAATTATAACTATAATTGCTATTTCTTCTTTCAAATGTTTAATACTTGTAAAAGTATTCATTTGACATTGTGGGTTTACCTATAATGCGAAGAGATGGCGCTGCCTTGCAGCTTAAGAATAGCTAGAAAGAATTTCGACGCGGTCCGTGAGGGCCGCGGTAGCATAATTGGTCAGTGCATTCGCCCGGATTGCGAAAGGTGCGGGTTCGAGTCCCGTCTGCTGCCTGGTCCGCGTGGAATTTTTTCTAGTTATATTTTCTTTAGATTTAAACATCAAGCAGTTACATGCTTTAAAAATAATAAAAATTATAACTATAATTGCTATTTCTTCTTTCAAATGTTTAATACTTGTAAAAGTATTCATTTGACATTGTGGGTTTACCTATAATGCGAAGAGATGGCGCTGCCTTGCAGCTTAAGAATAGCTAGAAAGAATTTCGACGCGGTCCGTGAGGGCCGCGGTAGCATAATTGGTCAGTGCATTCGCCCGGATTGCGAAGGGTGCGGGTTCGAGTCCCGTCTGCTGCCTGGTCCGCGTGGAATTTTTTCTAGTTATATTTTCTTTAGATTTAAACATCAAGCAGTTACATGCTTTAAAAATAATAAAAATTATAACTATAATTGCTATTTCTTCTTTCAAATGTTTAATACTTGTAAAAGTATTCATTTGACATTGTGGGTTTACCTATAATGCGAAGAGATGGCGCTGCCTTGCAGCTTAAGAATAGCTAGAAAGAATTTCGACGCGGTCCGTGAGGGCCGCGGTAGCATAATTGGTCAGTGCATTCGCCCGGATTGCGAAGGGTGCGGGTTCGAGTCTCGTCTGCTGCCTGGTCCGCGTGGAATTTTTTCTAGTTATATTTTCTTTAGATTTAAGCTCTCTAAGGTTTGTGTTATGGGATACTACGGTAATGGATAGAATACATATACTGATACATAGATAAGTATATTTATATAGAAATACGTATTAAACATCCATGACTTTAGTACAATTGCTCATATTCATCGCACAGATATCTGCCCCCACCGGGATTCGGACCCGGGACCGTTTGAGTAGGCGACACCTTTAAACCTGGCTTACAAACCACTCGGCCACATAGGTTATCATTCTTTGCATAGACTTGAATATTGGCAATGTACTATTGTTTCATTGTTCTAGGTGGTCAGTACAGAGTCAATATCTCGGTTACTTTGTGTTAAATGTGAAGAGACATTGGAGAAATGCAAAGATTTTAAGATGCAATGTGGACAATCCGACAGACTCCTGAGAAATCTTGTTAAGGTAATTAAGCAATTGTTTAATTTTGTTCCTAAGACGAAGAGCTCATGAACAGTTATTTTCCCGCACACGCCGCCGCCGCGGGTGACCGCAGACCTGGGGTAATTGCCTAACACGATTGCTATGGCTTTCGCTATGGGCTTACGATTTCATTTTGTTATTTCTGATCGCCGAACGTTTTCATATACCTCAATTCAACACCTGCAAAAGAAAAAAGGGCGCGAGGCTGTTGAAAACTTTTTAGGCGGTCAGAAATAACAAAATGAAATTTAAGCGACAGCGTTAGCCATAGCAATTCTGGAAGAAATGAAATGAGATTAAATGAAGTCATTTATTCAGTCTAGGCTGTTACAAGCACTTGTGAAGGTCAAGAAGCTACGCCATCGGTTCACAAAACTACGGCGGGCGACCTTGTACTGAGAAGAACCGGCAAGAAACTCAGCAAGGGCTGCTATTTTCTCCCTGTATTGATATATACAGAGTCGTCGTAGGCGATTGACCCCTTGTTTTTGTTAAAAACTCACAATATTCCATTTTTTTGGGAACTGTTTTACACCTACCTTCAGTATTTTTTTGCGTTTTACCTATAATTCGCCGCGACAACGGCTAACTATAGCCGAGGTATGTGAACAGTCCCCTATAAGGTTCTGCCTACTGCAGTTAATGAGATATTTATGTGAAATTTTACTGTAATGGTGCTGCTACATTTTAACCATATTCCTAAAACTTTTAAGAATGTGAATACATACAATATAAGAAATATAGACTATCGCTGGGAATTTGTATCGGAGCTGAAACTCCATGGGGTCTCCTTGAACCAGTTTTGGAATCACTGGCCTAGCTTACAACAACATAACACTTTGAAGTTTATGTCGTGATGAAGTTCTGAATACACAGTTGCATTCTTTTTTCATTCTTTGAAATGAAATGAAAGTTTATTGGAATAGAACATAATTTGTTCTAGTTTGTTATTTGTTTACTTAAATAAAACTAGTTTTAACGGGTTAATGCACAAAACTTTCTCAGAGAGGCTGTAAGAAGATAGAAAGCCTCTTTGAGTTGGTTTCGCTGGTTCTTCTCAGAAAGGTCTCCCAATTTTGGAACCGGTAGTTACGGTAGTTTACGGTAGTTTGGGTCAAATAAATAAACTCAAAATTACAAAAAAGAATTTTAAATAAAGTACTTTATACTAATTTAACTAAAGTAGTTAATTCATACATAGACAATACAATTTTAAAAATCTTCCAATGAAATAACCGAATGCTCAATAAAAAGTCTTTCTAAGGTAGCTCGACAAAATTAAATAAAAATCAGTAATCTGACGATGCAGACGTGAAAAGGCTGCGAAAAGTCAATAAATAAATAAAGTTTCATGCATTAACCCGTTAAAACTAGTTTTATTTAATGAGTGATGTGCGTGAAAACCTAAGAAAGAAATATTTATTTACTTGCCTATTTATTATTACTGTTTTTGCCACATTGGAATACTTATATAGGTATATCGTAGGAAGATTTGATAAATAGATTTTCGCGAAAATCCTAGGGATTCTGTGACAACGCGGATAATTAGAAAATGGCGATGAAATTTTGCAATTTTACTGATGAAAAAGATAGGATTTCGACGAAAACACAAGTCGCCTCAGTACTATTGCGAAAAGAATCGTTGGTTCGCTTTTAGGTTCACACTAGGTAAGGTTACTGTTGTGATAATGACGCCCGACCCGAGCGAGCATAGCGAGCGCGCCGCAATAGCGGCTAGCAAAGCCCCAGAAAAAGAAAATCCTTGAGCAATTTCATCGTCATTGTCTAATTGTCTGCGAGAATTTGTTTTTCTTTTAAACACACACCAATTTGCTTAGTCCCAAAGTAAGCCCTGTAAGGCTTGTGTTATGGGAAACTAGGGTAACGGATAGAATACATATACTGTACATATATAAATATGGAAAATACATATTATAACATCCATGACTGGAGTACAAATGCTCGTAATCATCACACAAACATCTGCCCCCACCGGGATTGGAACCCAGGCCCTCTCGAGTCGGCGACACCATGAAACCCGGCGTACAAACCACTCGGCCACAGAGGTCGTCAATTTTAACATCATACAGCATGTATAAACATGACGTAACCATACCGGATAGCTCTTAATCCTTATTTTAAAAGTATAATATACTTAAAGTATAAGATGAATAACGAATAAGATTACAAAATAATTATACATTTTTAATTTCAGAAAACCACACAGTCGCCACTCCCACAGGCAGAAGATGTGAAGACGTCGTGTATATTGTACGATGACCGTTTAACTGTGACTATCACAGCAAACGATACCAAAGAGAGAATATATTATCCATGCCCGTACCAATGTGTAGACAAATTCTTGAAGAAACACGACCTTTTAATGCATCTAGTCAAAAACCACAAGGTTCCCGAAACCTTTAAAATCGATCTAAAATACTATTGCTCTTATCTGAACTGCTCTTACAACATATTCGCTGGTAGCAAATGGTTTTCAGGCAGAAAATTTCTCAATCAACACTACAAGAAAGTCCATATGAGTAAAATTTATTCATGTGCCGTCTGCAATTCGAAGTTCGCTACAGACTCCGATTTCAATCGGCATTTGCGGTCTTGTAACCAGTCTTTTGAGTGTGAAGCTTGCGATGCGAAGTATACATGTAAAGAGAGATTGACTGTGCATTTACTGAGAAGACATCCGGAACTGCATAAACTTTATAAGGACGAGAAGAGAGCTAGAAAAAGGAAAGTTAACCAAGACACTGAGACCAAAAAGGCCAAGATTGATTCTGATAAGATTGCCGATTATATTCGCGACAGTCCTAAAAGAACATCTTCAACGCAAACTTCTATTCTGGAAGCCAACATAAAGAATGATGTAACATTAATACCATGGAATTCGATGCCAGGGAAAGGCGATTACACTGAAGCGAAAACCGATGAGATTTCAACGCAAACCGTATTCGAAGATCTACTATCGATTAAATCACAGACGAGCGAAGACGATTCGATATTCTTCTCTGAAACTGTGTCCCTCTCGGATATACAAACGCAAACTTTCCCTTTAGAGTTTGGCTTGAGCAGGTCCAATAAGAAGACGGTCACATCGGGAACTCAATCACCAGATTTGAGCATCAAAGAGACTCAGACTTGTTTCTGCTTGTACCATTCACCGAAACCTAATTATAGGTTGTTTGACAGTATTTTCTCGAGCCCTTCTAGTACAAATTTGATATCTGCTGAGACTCAAACTTGTGAAACTAGGTCGAATATAAAATCGGATGTTTTGCTGAGTTTCAACTCGGCGGAAACTCAGACGCATTTCAACGAGGATATGAGTAAAGATATTTGATGTTGGCAATATTTGTAACTTGTCAGCCGTTGCCAATATTAATATCTAGGCTGATAAAAAACAATATTTGTACCAATTCATTGTCGTCATTATTGCTAATTATTTGCCCACAGAATCCCATGCTATAGAGACAAAATAAAGTGATGGCAATAACATGATATATTTGCTAGAGCGAATCGCTGAAGACATATAAACCATCTTTTAGGTTTTGACATAATAACCTCTTATAAATCGATGTACACCGGCTGTACGCACGAAAAGTGTGACGTCATGTCACGTTATGTGACGTCATGTCACGTTATGTGACGTCATGTCACGTTATGTGACGTCATGTCACGTTATGTGACGTCATGTCACGAGTTAGTTCAACGTTCTGCGGTGTGTGTGAGGTGAGGTCGAGTCGGTGTCTTCGAACCAGTGGGGACCAGTGGCTTTACTAGTGGTTGCCAAACTTTTCCCACGACTGCCCCTATATAAAAAAAATGTGTGCACGGACCACCCATCTGAAGTGAAACTTTTTTTCTTAAATAACTGAACATTAGGCAGTGCATAAGGCATCGGGGAATGGAGCAGCGCACGCATCACACATATATATGTCGGCGGATGGCGTCTCACTCGCTCCTTCGAAACGTTAAATCAACGACAAATGTCATCAGTCAGTGTACCATTGCCTTATGAAACGTCACTAGGAGGCCGCACCGTCCTTCTCGCGCATATGCTCTAGTATCTGACTAAAGCAGCGCTGCGTCGCTCGCCAGGGGGGGGCCTGGGGGACGATCGCTTCCGATGAAGCCTTAGAGGCCTTCCCGGCCAGAGGCAGCCCCTACGGGTGTTTTTTAGTCAGTACGAGTCTGACATAACCTTGCAGCCGGCTGTAGGATATCCATGAGGATTTCTCACCCGCTCCTGGGAGGAATCAAAAAAAAAAAAAATTGGAAGGGGCATTCAGCATTCAGACGTTAGCCGCGATAGTGAACGGACGTTAGCAGAGAACTCTCCACGCTCCACAAAGCAATCCGTTTGTACCTTGGCAATCATAACTGATTTTGTAAAGTCATAAGAAGATTCAAATTAAACGTAAACTTGGTCACTAGACTACAGTTTTATTTTCGGGAAATATCATTGAATAACCAAGATGGCGGATCAAGATGAACCACGTGGCCAACCGCCTATCCCGCTCCCCCCGACATATATATATATATAGTCGTGTGACGCTCGCGACGTATTTCCGTTTCATCTTTTCCATAGGATTTTTCCATTTACGAAAGGAAGTTTCACTACAAATGGTCATACTAATAAATATGTATTTGGGGGCAAGCGTATAAGTTTTTTTATTTGTAATTTAATTTTATGTTAAGCATAATAAAAATAACGAGTCATGATTGTTAAGTATTACTGTATTGTATGTTTAAATGAACCAAATATACTTACATAAGAATAATGTAACATAGTTAAAATTTAATGTATAAATTATAAATCTGTGTAAATAAAAATTAATGTTTTTCTATTTATTTGAGTGTTTGTCCTTTACTTGTGTTACGAAACCATTCCCGCTGTTGTGATAAAAGCTGTGATAGATACAGTAGAACCCGTTTAATACGATTTCTCGCATCATCGCATACAACTAGAGACATCTATATACATAAAACTCAAAGGTGACTGACTGACTGACATAGTGATCTATCAACGCATAATAATATAATTACATAAAGTTATTTTTTATAGGAGCTGTATAAAACTAAATGACATACCTACAGTGAGCTTTTGGCGTAGTTTTTAATTTATAAATTTAGTAATTTAAACACTGTTTTAGGCGGTTTTGATTGAAATTTATTAGAGATTCAAATTCAACGGTCCCGAAACTTCCGGACTGTAAAAAAAATAGTCTGACCAGATGCGTAATGAGGGCTATCGTTTTTTGTCTCACCAGATGGCGCCACTGTTGAGTGAGGTCCTGAAGTGTAGCTTTTAAAGTTAGTAAACATGCTCGTGATATCAAAGTTTACATTTAAATCATATTTTAATACAAAAGAATCGTATTGTAAACATAATCGCCCATGCCACAGTGTTGCGCAGTCCCGTTTTGTTCGGAAAAAAGAAGGACAATATTTTTTTCTTAGCTCCGCTTTTAAATAACTGACATTCATTGACACGTAACTCACATTTGCCATAATAAGTAGCAAATATTCACAATTATTATTTTAATTAGAAAAAAAACCGCGTAGTCGACCCACAAGCTATAACATTTGACATTTCCTCTTGAGATTTCCTCTTTCCATTTGAGACCTCACGCAACACAAGCGCCTCTAGCGGCGGTTTCAGAAGCGATAGCCCTCATTATACCGTTTTGTCCGCCAGCTCCTCATCTTTATATATATAATTCTTCTGTGAGTGTGTATGTCACTGAACTTCTCTTAAACGACTGGACCGATTTTGATGAAATTTTTTGTGTGTGTTCAAGGGGATATGAGAATGGTTTAGATTCACAATTTTGTCCGCTGGACAACCCCTATTTTTTTAGGGCGGTACGAAGTTCGCTGGGTCAGCTAGTATATAATAAAACACGTCATTAAGATCCCTTTCACATTTTTGCAAAAAATCGTAATTTTTGAGCGCCTCGTTTACCCCCTTAGAAAAGATTTTGACTATTTCCAATAGAAGTAAACAGTAGATTTATTCTTCTTATTGTAAGTTAATGTAGAATATTTGCAAATACTATTTTCCTTTTTTTGTACTGATCGTTCTACTGCAGCTAGTTTACGGAAAAAACGATAATATGCACAACTTCAAACGCCTCTCAATCTCTCAATAATGTTCAATAAATTAGATCAAGTTAATTACTACAACTTAAGAAATATGTTTTTGTTTTAATATAATCTATTAGAATTTTGATTTTCCATCTCATTAATTATCAAAAAAAAACATCTAACCTCCGTAAGTTTTCCCAAAGAATAATGCAGGTTTACCTCGTATTTTGATATTGAATTAAATAGAATTACTATCAAAAACTTTCATAAACTAATCTACCATCATTGAACTACTGAAATATGTATATATTAATATAATTACTTCATTAATAATTATTTTATAAGACTCGAAACATCACCCGTAAAATGCAATATATACTAGTGCAAATCTACCTACGCGCCGATCAGTACCAGTAGATTATCAGTACGGCAGCGGCGCAATTTTGTAAAAGGGCTCTTAATAAGAGAACACTAAATGAAGATACTGCATTACAAAAAAACCAGCGGGTCAATTATGCTTTAGTGATATAATCCTAATATGATGTCAATGTCATGATGATGCCAAGTTGACATTGTTTTTAAATGGTATTATGAAAAATTCCTGTCACATCAAGATCATATCAATATCATATCCTGTATCACTTTTTTGACGTTTATGCGATACTGTTTTAAGTCAAAAAGTTGAACGTAATACGCATTTAAGTTGATATCATTTTAAAGAGTTGATCATAATACGCATAAGTTGATGTCTAGTTGATGTCACTTTGATATCGTATTTTTCGGAGAACATAATACGTAATGTGAAATTGACATCAAAACAATATCACAATTGGCGAGCATAATTAGGCGTAACGTCGGCGACATCAAGTTCGCGAGGCCTATTTTACTTCGCAGTAAAAAACCGATAAATTAAGTGAGCAAAATTATAAAATAACGTATTTGTAAACGAGTTTTATTGTTGATAATCAAATGATGACAAAAAGAAATAAAAAAATAGAAATTTAATTACAAAAATAGTGTTGCCAGACAGACGATTTTGAATACCCGTAAAGTACTACTCGCTTTCATCACGCACGTATTCGAAAATAATAAAAGTCATTATCATCTGCTTAGCTTTTCCCCCGAATTGTTCGGGGTCGGCTACCTAAGCCAGGCCAGGAGAAACAAAAATAAATAGGTAACTTGTAAAAATTTTTTGCGAGGCTTCCTCAGGCGCGCGGCCGTCGGCGGTGGCCGACGTCGCCGACGCCTAGCGCCGCCACTGACGGTTTGGTAAATCTCCCAGCATGAAAACCACGATATGTTGTATAATGCGTTTTTATCACACTCAATTGTCAAATTATTATGGAGTTTGACAGTTAGATGAGATAAAAAACGTGTTTTATTGTATACTAGTGGCCCGCCCTCGCTTCGGTGTAGTGTAAACTATAGTTTTTGTTCTCAGGCTTGTGCTATAAACAATGACTTTATTTATATAATTACACGTGTTATTAGTGTCAACCGTAAAAGATAGACATATGCAGTTGCGAGATATTTTTAGACAATTTTATGTAGAATATTTTCGTCATACATGATTTCTATGTAACTTTAACCATTAAGGCTGCACACGCGACGGAAGTTTAAAAAATGGAGTAACTTCTTCCGTTTTCCCAACATTTCCCTTCACTACTCTGCTCCTATTGATTGTAGCGTGATGAAAAGTATACTATAACCTGCCCAGGAGTATGAAGAATAATTGTACCAAGTTTCGTTAAAATCCGTCGAGTAGTTTTTGTTTCTATAAGGAACATACATACAGACAAAAATTTTACTGATTGCATTTTTGGCATCAGTATCGATCACTAATCACCCCCTGATAGTTATTTTGAAAATATATTTCATGTACAGAATTGACCTCTCTACAGATTTATTGTAAGTACCTATATAGATTGTGGTGCTCATGCTATAGGGAGAGATCTCGTTTAATCTGCAAAATAGGGGAGGGGTAGGACTACACGAGGAGCTCGATGGTGCGGTTGGTTAACGCGTTCGGCTGCGATCGTTGAAGTTAAGCAACTTTCGCAGTGGTCGGTCATTGGATGGGTGACCAAAAATCTTCTATATCGAGTTCCTCTGTGCTTCGGAAGGCACGCGATATAGCTATTATTGTACGGTTTGCACACCTTTTTATGATAGAGTTGATAAAGTGAAAGTCCTGTTATAAAATAAACGATATATTAAACAAATTAAACTTATATGAATAATATGATAATTGATATGAGTATGCGCGGCTAGAATGAATACCGATGGCAGACTGATGTGAGCGTAACCTAGGGATGTCGAAAGTTGAAAAAAATATCGATATTTAAAAAAATATCAATATCGACTTCGATATATCGCGAAAAAAACATCGATATATCGGACCAATTTTCCCAAAAATATCGTACAGTAGCTCACGAAATATGACACGCGGAATAATAATGGAACGAAAATTATCTCCCTAAAAATAGACCCTATTTTCCAATGATGACATAGACAATACTAAATACAGCACAGATCATAGATATGTTGAATATCATTAATCTGAGATCCAGTTACGATTTTTCCAGATACGAATTTAGTTAGATCGTGATATGCCGCTACTAATTAAAAAAATATCGTTTTTGATACGAATTTCGATATTGGTTATTTTGTATCGATGTATCGATATATCGAATCAAAATATATCGGCAAAAAATATCGATATATCGATACATCTATATATTTTCAACAAGCCTAGCGTGACCTAAATTATCGAATGTGGCGTAAAGTGCAAACTAGACAAAAACTGTACGAGCCGGCTCGTACAATTATAGACCCCCAAAACGAGCCCACGACACTGAGTATTTTATGACTCCCAGAATGATAGTTATGAGGGCTTGAAGCACTGCATTTTCGTGTAGTCCTCATCATCAGCCCATTAATGTCCCCACTGCTGGGGCACAGGCCTTCCCTATGGATGGGATAAGGAGATTAGGCCATGACCAACCACGCCGGCCTAATGCGGATTGGTGGGTGCTAACGACTGCAGATGCAGCTGAGACCAACGGCTTATCGTGCCTTCTGAAGCACGGAAGAGCTCGAGTTAGTAAATATTTGGTCACTCATCCAATGAACGACCATTGCGAAAGTTGCTTAATTTCAACTATCGCAGCCGAACGCGCTATCCACCTGCGCCATCGAGTTCCTCACTCAGCACGAACCATTATCGAATTTAAATAGTTCAATTCTATTTGTTGAATTAATTTCCGACCAAGACTAAAATTTCTCTTGCGCAGTCCCTTCTTCTTCCGTTGCTTGACTATGCCGATGCGTGTTACTTTGACCTTAGTGTTGTTCTTCTTAATAAACTCGAGCGTCTGCAGAATTTATGCATTCGATTCATTTTCGGTCTACGTAAGTACGACCATATTTCTCATTATCGTTCCCAACTTCAATGGCTACCCATTTCTCGTAGATGAGACTGTCACATCCTATCACTCCTTTATTCTATGATGATTATTTCAGATTTTACGCATACGAATCACGAATATTAGTGACCATGAAAGTTTAAAACAATATAAGGATACTTTTTTGTCGATTTTAAGATTAGGTTTGGAGAATCATGTCAGAATCAACACCAGTGTCTGTAAATGGAGGTTTTGCCTGCGTAAAAAAATATAGTTACAAAGTTATATCTAACTAATACCTTGATCAATACAATACCAGACCCTTTCTCTTCCATTATGGCCATTATCATGCGTGACTCATCTTTAGTCATCGTTAACTTCATAAAAAACAATGTCGTTAACAGAACAGAACTTCGTTACAATTATGCCACAGTACATAAACTAAAGCAGTAAGTTGTGATTACTAATCATCGGCATGGACCAATGATGTTACTGGTCCATCCAGAGTGGCTATATTTTTGCACGAAATATATTTTACTTAATTATCGTATTTAATTTTATTTTAATGTAATTTTGAATTTTAATCTGACATTTAAATGCGAGACCTCTATGGGTCAGAGAACTGAAAATCAGCGATTTACTCTCTAAGGCCCGTATTACAGAATGACAACTAAGTGTTCATCTTTACTTGAGTACAGTTAGAAAGGGATGTCGCTATGTGCTATAATAGCGACATCCCTTTCTAACTATGCTAAAGACTAAATCAATCACTGAGAATCTTTCATAAAACGGGCCTTAATATCCGTCCGTCATATATATTGTGTGTGTGTGTGTATAAGTTTCTGTATCCATGACTGTTACGAATAAATGTTTTTTTCATTTCATTTACTTGATAAATGAAGTCCTTTAGGTCTTTGTCTGTAGTAAATTCTCTCTCCTGATGATAATTTGTTGCAACTATCTTCATAGAGAGATTGGTTATGTGTTTACTAAAAACTGTATTCGTTTTAATACGTCGCGTCGGCCGACCTTGACATCGATATATAGATATATCCTACCATTATTAAATTTATTTATTTATACTTAATACACAAGTGTACAAAGGCGGACTTAATGCCATAGGCATTCTCTACCAGTAGCATAGGGTGTTGTGGATAAATAATGGTAGGGTGCACAACTTACATGGAAATTACAGAAAGACGAATATATATAAATATGAAGCAGATAGCAGAATATATATAATCACACATACATAAATAATTACTTACATATAAATAACTATCTTAATATATATAAATCTCGTGTCACAATGTTTGTCCTCAATTAGAGTCCATTGATATAAACCACTGAACCGATTATAATAAAATTCGCACACCATGTGCAGTTCGATCCAACTTGAGAGATAGGATAGTTTAAATCTCAAATTATAGTCGCAATTTTAATTTATTGCAAATTATTACTTTTGGGCGGTACGAAGTTCGCCGAGTCAGCTAGTACATATATAAATATACATAACAATGACGACTATAACGTTTAAGTTAGACTGCTTGTTCCCAGGGCCGGATTTAGGATTGTGGAGGCCCCTGGGCCACTTAGGATTTGCATGCTTGTTGACACATCGAAATCTTGTTATTTCTTAAGCTGCTGTGGAGGCCCCTTGGCCACAGCCCCACCTGCCCTGCCTTTAATTCGGCCCTGAGATTAATATAATCAAATAATCATGTATGTTAGATGTACAAAGTACTGTAGGCTGTAGGTAAAGGTAAAAGAGCAAAAAAATATATCAAGGGAAAAGATGTTTACTAGTGTTTACTAGTTGGAATTTGAAAGTCCGAAGTCTCTATTGTGGGGGCCCCCCTTTGTGGAGGCCCCGGGCCCCGGTTGCCCCCTAAATCCGGCAGTGCTTGTTCCTGTAAAAAGCTTCGTAGCTTGGTTTTGAAGCTAATTTGTTGTATGCTGGTGCAGTGGCGGCGCTAGACCACATGTGGACGTCGCGTCGGCGACATCAAGTTCGCGAGGCCTATTTTACTTCGCAGTAAAAAACCGTTAAATTAAGTGAGCCAAATTATAAAATAACGTATGAGTAAACTAGTTTTATTGTTGATAATCAAATGATGACAAAAAATAATTACAAACATAGAAATTTAATTACAAAAATAGTGTTGCCAGACAGACGATTCTGAATACCCGTAAAGCTACTACTGGCTTCCATCACGCACGCACGATCCGTGTTCGAAAATAATAAAAGTCATTATCATCTGCTTAGCTTTTTCCCCGAATTGTTCGGGGTCGGCTACCTAAGCCAGGCCAGGAGAAACGATCGGCTACCTAAGCCAGGCCAGGAGAAACGAAAATAAATAGGTAACTTGTAAAAATTTTCTGCGAGGCCCCCTCAGGCGCGAGGCCGTCGGCGGTGGCCGACGTCGCCGACGCCTAGCGCCGCCACTGGCTGGTGGACATTCTTATATGTAGGGGGAGTAATATAATATTGTGTATGCTGATGCACGGGATATATATTAGGTACGATGTTAGGTTAATTTGATTCTGGGATCTTTAGCCGCATCCTCAACAGGTTTCTGTGTCGAATTGTCCATAGAAGCATTCAACCCGTCATAAAATCTCAAGTTTCGTTTTATGATGTTGTTTAAGTGAAGTTAAAGAATGCTTCTTGCTTGCACTGGCTGCATAGTTCTTTGTGGGTAGTTAAGGCTGCTGTATGATCAGATCACTCCGATTCAGATTTGATCAAGGCATTCCTAAGCATTCCTAAACTTTGTTAAATCAGTTTTTTATAGGCAAAATTTTTATATCATTTACATTTGTAATGGAAAGTGACTTCATGAGTTATCTCATATTGAAGTCATTTTTCAATTTGACGACGCTGTATTTAATACAGTGAGAAAAAAACAGCCGGTTCTTCTCAGTAGAAGGTCTCCCGCCGTAGATTTGCGAACCGATGGCGTAGCTTTTCGACATTCACAAGTGCTTGTAACAGCCTAGATTGAATTTTTTTTGATCAGCAAAAGATCATGGAAGATCTGGGTCCATATCGCCTATTGGGATTGCTATGGCTATCGCTTACGATTTCATTTTGTTATTTCTGGCTGCTTAGGTTTTCAAATACCTCAGGCTTTAATATTGTTATTACCAATGCAAAAGAAAAAAAGAGATCGAGCCGTTTAAAAACCTTCGGCTTTCAGATATAACAAAATAATCAGAAGTGGTCTTTTCAGGTTAAAAGGACCATTTTATTTGTGCAACATAAAAAGATTTATTGTAGTTTTAATATACCGAGTTTATGTGGTATACACTCTAACTATTAAGAAGATTCGAACTACACCCATCAAGCCTAAAGCATTTAAACCGTTTAGGCCACAGAGGGTGCCAAAGAAATATAAATATACTTGAAAAACATAACTATCCTTTCGCGAAGTCGGGTAAAAAGGCCCTCTCAAAGATCTGTTGCTCAGGACCCCGCAATTCCTAAGGCCGCCTTTGACTCTGACACAACATACGTTCAAGTATACTTGCCATTATTTGCACAATTTTAGTACCCATTAACGTAACGTGCACTGGATGAAATTTGGTGGACAATTTTTTCAACACATACCTACTATACTTGTGCACGTATACTTGAACGCAGCAGAAAAGTTATCCAATTTCTACTACGCTAAATACCTCGACATAATTAAGCACATGAGATACTCAATCTATCTCGTTTACTTTAATCAAACTGAACACGCAAAATATTGATTCTCCTAGTGCGCACACTCGGCAACTTCACTACGCTGGCACAAATTGCTATTTCGTCCTACTAGGCGCACGTTTACAACTGTTAAGACAATCCATACGCCGCCAAAAGTACAGATCCGTCTACTGTGCTAAGCGTTAATATTTTCGGACACAATCGTACAATAATTTTTATATTCAACCCTCGAAAAATGTTGGTTGGAATCCCGTAACTAGTTAACAAAAGTCATTTACTCGGAAGTGTGTTGTTTTTGATAATAAGAGGGATTTTCTTGGAAAAAAAGTTAGCAGAAAAGCTCTACAACGGCTTCTTCACGGGTTTTCGATTATAAAAAACCAATGTATACGGCTGCAGCCGTACCTTTAGTTAAGGGAAACCTATTAAAACTGGGCTCAACGGAATCCGAAGACCATTTTAAGCACTCCACACAGAGTTTGCCTGCACCACCGGACATCTTGAAGGAGCTATGTCACTACCTCGGGAATTCAGTTTCAACCAGGTAACTACTTAGTTATATGACAATTAAGGATATTTTTCTAGAATAATCCGTTTCCCAGTAAAAGACTGAGAAATGGATGACATAATTTGTAAGCATCCATGTTGTCCGAGGTCATTTCCTGTCAGTTCAAAATGTCACACGTGAAAGTCTCTCGAATCATTTTCGGTCCTGAAGCAATAAAATTATGCCAAAGTGCTTATACACTTATTTAAGATGATATTGCTTAATCATAATATCAAGGTCGTATTATCTATTGCTTCGTCATCCATCACGCAATAGGCAGTGGCCAAAGTACTATAGTTAAGTAGAAAATAAATAAAAAAGGCACTTAAATCTTTAGAACATACACCAACGATATTTGTCAATATACCGGACACATTTATCGGGCCACTTCGTGTTATTAGTTTCAACAGTCTGTAGCAAAAATATAATTATGTAATCTAAATTAAGCAATAATAATTTATAGTTATAATTTTTTAAGCATGTAACTGCTTGATGTTAAATCTAAAGAAAATATAATTAGAAAAAAATCCACGAGGATCAGGCAGCAGACGGGACTCGAACCTGCACCCTTCGCTATCCGGGCGAATGCACTGACCAATTATGCTACCGCGGGCCTATAATAATAATTTATTTTGAAAACACACGAGAAAAGAAAGATTGTTGATAAATCATCTTTATAACTGCGTAAAACTTTTTGCTCTATGTAACATTTATTTTATGCTAGGGAGCTTCAAAATCATATAACTATAATGTCCCAGCGAACTTCGTACCGCCATAAAAAATAGGGGTTGGTGGTAGAAGGGTGAAAATTTAGGGTTGCATATATTTTTGTATGATGTATCATAAAAAAATTAAAAAAAATATATTAAAATTGAAAAAAAAAATTAGGGGTGGATTACCATTAACATTTAGGGGGATGAAAAATAGATGTTGTCCGATTCTCAGATCTACCCAATATGCACACAAAATTTCATGAGAATCGGGAAAGCCGTTTCGGAGGAGTTTAACCACAAACACCGCGACACGAGAATTTTATATATTAGATAATTAAATTGCTAAAAGATAAGTATTTCAGGGAGTTGACACACACGCTATAGTGGAAAAAATGTACTCAAGTACATTCAAATCAAACGTAATATTTATTTGGATAGTCAGAAAAGTCTTTTTTTAGATATGTAGGAAGGTGTTTGCGAAATTTTTTAAATCTAGTATTATATTAAAATAGGCGAGAAGTTTAAAATTATCGGAATCACCTACATTAGGGATAATCATTTCGTCACGATAACTAATATTAACAACAAAGCGAATTGGAGTGAGACCGCCATTATGTAAAGTTCATTGACGTGGCCATTGCTATTTGGCCACCGTTTGCTCCAATTAGCCATATATGGGTCAAAGACGAATGCAATGCAGACTGTCGCATTGTATTTAATTAACAAATGGCTTTTAATGTAAACGTCTTTAAATGTAAACCTATTTTAGGTATTCCATTTGTAGGTATTCTGTTTGTGGATATGTAAAAGCAAGTTACGCAACTTTTTGATTTTCGAAATGATAATATTTAGTTCCACGTTGGGTGTAAAATTTTAATTGATGCAAAACCGAGTTTTATAGAATTAAAGAAACCCATATTACTGTATTTACGTCGGAGAACGTGCTCGTTCAGACTGCGATTGTGGAAGTTAAGCAACCTTCGTAATGGCTGTTTATTAGATGGGTGACCAAACATTTTTTTTTCGAACGCCTCCGTGCTTCGGAAGGCACGTTAAGCCGTTGGCTGCGGTTAGTAAATACACAACTTGCACTGCGCCCGCGTGGTGGGTCAAGGCCCTATCTTCCTATTCCGTACATTGGGAAGGCCTGTGCCCCAGCAGTGGGGACATTAATAGGATGGTTATAATGTTACTTCTCATGTAGATACTGTAGGGCTTGACCTGTAGCAAGCCCTGGGGAACTCTGGTCGGGTCGGGCACTGGTTTATTTGTACTCAAGTAATTTACAATCATTATCAGCCGATCTATAAAGTCTGTGCCTGAATTTCATCTCCTGGAATGTTCAATATGTGACAAAAGATTCTCATATTATTTAATTTTTAAAAGAATCGGGGGCACGGCAGTGCCCCCGCCAAGTCAAGCGCGAAGCAAACACTGCCGTACCATCCTTTACTGGAACCATTTCGCCGCATTTTCAGGCCCCTATTTGAGAACCTCTGGATAGGACCAGTACCCCTAGCACGAACCAATATCGAATTCGTATCATTGTCAAATGTGTACTGATTTTAAGTTCTCGTTACGTACTTTGTGCCGCTGCTGTTCAAGTTTCCATACAAAATTTGAAATTGACTTTTAGGTTTGCAAACTATTCGAATTCGATAATGGTTCGTGCTAGGGTTACTGAACGCAGAAATTTTCGTCATTCAGTAGGCTATAATAACATACTTAAAATCCAAAATTTCAAGTCTGTTAAGCGAAAGCAAAGTTTCGCATTTATGACACTCACTCACTCATGATCATCAGAATAGAACTAGTACTTCCCATAAACACAGAGAGCTGAAATTTGGTACAAAGTTAGGGTTTAATGGCCACATAAAGGGAAAACTATAACCTGTACCTGTGTACCTGGTGATCCTGATTAGAAAACACAAGAACCCAACCAAACTATTAGAAGAGATCGACATACCGCCTTTACAAAAAATATTCAAGTTGGTGGGCCGCTTCATTTGATGTCAAAAATCGAAGGTCTGAAGTTTCTGATAAAGAACCCTCAGCTGGTCTCAGCGGTATTAGAGATATGGTAATTCCCCCTTCTACTATTGGTACAAAAAAAAAATCGACTGTCATTGCAAAAATCCAGTGCAGTGGGACACATCTTTTTATTTAATCTAGCCTATAGCGTCCCACTGCTGAGCGAATGCCTCCCCTTCTGCTTTTAATACGCATATAAATAAAATTAAAGGAAAACACTGGATAACACTAGACTTTACAAGAAAAAATAGTCGAAGGATTAACTTTATTCTACTCGAATATTACACAAATTAAATAAACAAATTACTCTAAAATATTAATTTCGCTCAGAATTTGGTCAAAATATAAGGCATTGGACTAAGAGTGGCGGAAGTATAAGACTATAAGTCGCGTCTCGAAACTCTAGCGCTGACCGTTATTGCGCAGAAGTAAAAATTAAGATGTCTTGAGGGGAAACAGAGGTGCGCGGGTGGGCGTGCGTTGCGCCGATTGGCTCACCAGTCGTACCCATGCGATTTTTTTTGAGTGTATAGATGCTGTTGGTCGCAGATGACCTTTACATTGTCACCGGGTTTGGGGCGACGGCGAGATCCTAAGAGGACCTCAAGCCGAGAATTGGCGAGTGCCTCTAGAGGTATTCCAGGCGGATGGCAACACCCCACGGGGGGAGTCTCCTCTCCGTCTGGAGCCTCTAGACCACGAGCACCTGAGGGGGTCAGCTCAACTGGGCGGCTCTGAGACTCGGACCTCGGCTCTAGTTAGCCGTTGTCGTGGGGGGCGGGGAAAAACGCCCAGGTATATACCTGTACTTCGGTGGGCACTAGGCCGTGTATTCAGCCCCCACGCGCGGGCCATCCTGCGCACGTCTGCGGGGTCCCCGCAATACCTCGGAAGACCCCTGCCGCGGAGCCCCGGCAAGGCCTCGAGGCTGCTGGGTGCGGAGACGCGGAAGAATGCCTAAACGGGGATCCCGCGGTTTCGCACTAAGCAGCTTAGAGGGTATTCGCAGGGCTTTTTAGTGGATATAATGCCGTAAAGCACCCTTAAGAGTTACGGGGTCCTCAGTGGGCAGCCACTGTGGGGGCTCGTAAGGTTTGCGGGAGCCAGGTGTGAGGTCCGTTCGGCGGTGTGCCTCTTAAAGGCGCCGTCTCTGTAAACAGAGTTTTTGCCTGCGTCACAAAAAAAAGGTTAATACCTGTACTTGGTATAGCGTGTCGTGTGTAGACCGGGTCTTCGCACTCTTATCCTACGGGTGCGGTGTCTGCCTAATGCTAAGCTAGTGTGCAAGTTTGCTAACCTAATATTAGGCGGTGTCGCTATATATATTGTCGCGTGTGACGCTCGTAGCGTTTTAGTTTACGCCGAGTAACCCTTCAACTTTCATGCTCGTAGAGAAGAGCTTCGCTCGCATCCACACACACACACACACACATATATATATATATATATATATATATATATACCTAGTCGTGTAACGCTGGTGACGCATTTCCGTTTTATCTTTTCCATAGGATTTTTCCATTTACATCGTGTCCGAATAAAAATTTTTACTTCAAAAAAGATACGGCTGTTTATGTTGCGTATCTACAAATTTGTACGACTCGTACTTGTCAGGGCTTTTTAATTAGCGACCTCCGTGGCCGAGTGGTTTGTACGCCTCCTGGTTTCATGGTGTCGCCGACTCGAGAGGTCCCTGGTTCGAATCCCGGTGGGGGCAGATGTTTGTGTGATGAATACATTTGTACTCTAGTCATGGATTTTTAATATGTATTCATATAAATATACTTAAATATGTACCAGTATATGTATTCTATCCGTTACCCTAGTATCCCATAACACAAGCCTTATAGTGCTTACTTTAGAGCTAGGCTGAGTGGTGTGTGTTGGAAAAAATAAAAATTGTATTAAACCTTCATACTCGCTGCACATCGTCTGTGGATATAGTCATGTATATTATATGTATATGTATGTAAAAGTAGGTCACTATTCGCGTTCAAGCAGTGCTTTGACCTTGCACAAACCACAACTTACAAAATACACAACCACGCTAGTGATGGCGGCATAGTCAGCTAAATATCGAATCGATGTTTTTTGTGGCTGTCTAGTGTTCCAAAAAAAGGTAAATTTAAAAAATCAAAAAACCCGACTGCTTAGTTATTCTTCAAATAAAAACTGAAAAGAAAAAAACAAGTCCAATAGTCTATAATTCTGTTAATAAGGAACAAAGCTACTTTAACAGTATATAACCCATTA